TTACAGAGGGTTTTTCCTGCAGGAGCATTGGTAGGAGTCTGGCTGTTAAGGACAAATCCATTAGCATTACTGAGATGGTCCTAACCTAGTATATGCTCTTGAATGGCGTATAATGGTTGAGTTTGAGCTCTGGAGCCAGATATTGCTGGGTTTCATTGTTTTGTTGACTATCTCTTACATCTACAGTTGTGCCTGGCACATACCAAACCCTCAGTACATATTTGGAATGAATGAGTGAGTCCCAGTGTACAAGGAAACTATTCTAGTCAACCTGTAGTTGATCTGAAGATAATTGCTGGAGTTGTAGTCCCAACTTATCATGGCATCAGGATTGGAGGAAGACTCATTAACAACCTACATTATGCAGGTGACACAACTTTGCTCGCTGAAAGTAAGGATGACTTGAAACACTGATGAAGATTGAAGACAACAGCCTGCAGGGTGGATTACACCTCAATATGAAGAAAACAAAAATCCTGACAATGGGACCATTAAGCAGCATCATGATAAATGGAGAAAAGACTGAAGTTATCAAAGACTTCATATTACTTGGTTCTACAGTCAACACCAGTGGAAGCAGCAGTCAAGATATCAGATGTCATATAGCATTGGGAAAATCTGCTGCAAAGGATCTCTTTCAAGTGCTGAAGATCAAAGATGTTTCCTTGAAGACTAAGGTGTGCTTGACACAAGGCATGATATTTTCAGTAGTGTCATGTGCATGTGAGAGCTGGACAATGAAAAAGGAAGAATGAAGAAAAGTCGATGCTTTTGAGTTGTGGTGTTGGTGAAGAATGCTGAGAATGCCACAGACTGCTAAAAGAACTAACAAATCTGTCCTGGAAAAAGTGTAGCCGGAATGCTCCTTGGAAGCGAGAATGGCCAACCTTCGTCTCACCTACTTTGGTCATGTTGTCAGAAGGAACTATTCCCTGGAGAAAAATATCATGCTTGGAAAAGTGGAGGAACAACGAAGAAGGGGAAGGCCCTCAATGAGATGGACTGACACAGTGCCTGCAACAATGGGCTCAAGTGTAGCAAGGATTGTGAAGCTGGCTCATGCCCAGGCAGTGTCTCGTTCTGCTGTACATGAGGTCGCTATGAGTAGTAGACAACTCGATGACACCTGACAACAACAGTCCATCTCATTACTGAAAACATTGACAGAGGCTTTGTTTCCACAGTTAAGTCAAAGGATCTGTCTTGGAAGAAGTACAGTCAGAATGGTCCTTAGAAACGAGTATGGCAAGACTTTGCCTCGTGTACTTTGGACATGTGATCAGAAGTGACCAGTCCCTGGAGAACTATATCATTCTTGATAATGGGTCAGCGAAAAAGAGGAAGACTCCCAACAAGATGGATTGACACAGTGGCTACAACAGTGGGCCTAATGATAAATAGCAATGGTCTTGAGGATGGCACAAGAGACTTGCCAACATTTCATTCTGTTGTACATGGGTTGATATGAGTCTAAACTGACCCCATAGCACCTAACAACAAGTGAAGGACTTAGGTTTGCTAGTTAATTGTTCACCAGATTTGCTCCTAAAATTTAGAGTGTTAGTCATAGTTTCAATTGGACATGATTCATCCCATAGTGTACTTGTTTCTCTCATCTATTTTAATTTGCTCCAAGTCTAAACTTTATTTCTGAGGTCATTTTCAGTTTTAATATTTGAAGATTCTTCTGAAACGGCTGGTTTTAATTCCCAGTGCTCTCATATACAAGGATCCTGAACGCTAATATTTTTATTTATAATGAAATAATAAATCTTTAAAGAGGTAACATTTGTTTTCAAAGCATGAAGATAGCTCCTGGGGTAACAGCATATATGTTACATATATAGTAGTATTGAGTGACATGTACCAGTAAATCCTCTGTACTTTTTAATGCCTTCTCTTCTGGGTCCTGGGAGGGTATACCACCATGTCAGTGTGCCAGACTGAACAGAGGATGGACTTTAGCTAATCATGGGAGGACACTATCCAGTGTCACTCTCAGAATCTTGGCTGGGAGTGATTGAAGCTTTTAGCTCGCTGGATCTGCTGTAGGTGAGCATTACTTCAATGAGGTTGTCTGAGACAGAATAGAACACTACCAGTATGAGGTCAGTAGTAGCTGTTGTGGGAGAAGAGAAAAGCAGGAAATTCTTCACTAAAAATATTGTGTACTGATAAACTGGTAGGCTGACTGGCTAATAGACTCATATCCAACTAATGAGTTTGGCCATGAGAAGGAGATATCTCATAAGAGGGGCTCTAGGGTACTGAAAGTTGAACTGTGACCTCTTTAAAGTGGAGTGAAGGATGGCTTTTCTCCAGTTTGCGTACACCTCCCTATCCAGTTTGCTTTTGAAACTGTTTTTCTGTCTGTCCTCCCACAACCCTCTACATCCTTCTGTATTTATCCTAGCCACTGGATACTCTCAAGTAGTTAACTATGTCTTAAAAAGGTAGCCAAGTGTATATCAGCCTGAACTGAAGTATGCTAGCAGAGCTTTTGTGAGTAGACTAAAAAAAAAACCAAAAAAAACAAAACTGACTGCCATCCAGTCGATTTGACTCATAGCAACCCCTTCTTGGGTTTCCGAGGCAATATCTCCATGGGAGTAGATTGCCCAATCTTCCTTCCAAGGAGTGGCTGGTGGGTAGTTATAATAAAAAATGGTGTTGAAGTAAGACTGAGGACACAGGGAGATGGGAAGAGACCTGTAGAGTTAGGAAGTCAATAGCTAATCAATGAGACTCCTCTAAATTTAGCTGGCTGTTGCTTTGAGTTAATTCAGGTGGTAATAGAGCCTGGGTGCTCAGCCCATCCTGTTGATGGTCCTAGATAGGAGATATAGTTTGCTTCTATCTCCAGTCACACTTGGCCTTTTGTGTGTGGCAGGATGGAAGTGTGTTCCTGCTCAGGTTGCTTGGCTTGCCTCACTTCCTGCCCTGTGCTACAGTGCTGCAAGTTCTAATGGACTCCCCCCCTTTCTTTTTTAAATTGTGGTAAATACATATGTAACAAAATTTTTGACATTTCAACAGTCTTAACATGTACAGCTCAGTGACATTAATTTTGTTCATCATGTTGTTCCTAAATTATACTATCACCCTTACCTGTTCCTAAATTACACTATCACCCTTAACAAAAGCTCAGTGTCCTCTAAGGATTGAGTTTTCCTCTTCCCCTCTCTCTTACCCATTTATCCCTGGTAACAAGTAATAAACTTCGGTCTCTATACTCTTGTCTATTCTAGATATTTCATATAAGTAGATTTCTTTATATATATATAAACAGCTTTAGTAAGATATAATTCACACTCATTTGAAGTTTTAATGTATTCATGAAATTGTACAACTATCGCCTCACTCAACTTTAGAATATTTTCAAAACCCAAAAAAGAAAACCTCGTGCCCTTAGCAATTACTCACCATTTCTCTCCCAACCTCCTCCCCCATCCCCAGCCCTATGCATCCATGAATCTATTTTCTGTCTCTAGATTTGCCTATTCTGGACATTTCATATAAATCTTATGTGGCTTCTTTCATTTAGCATAATATTTTCAATGTTCACTTACATTATAGCGTGTATCAAGGATTACTTTGTTCCTTTTTATTGATGAATAACATTATCTTGTACCACATTTCTTTCATCCATTCATCAGCTGAAGGACACTTGGAGTGTTTCCACTTTTTGGCTATTAGAGTATTGCTGCTGGGAACATTTGTGTATGTCTTGTATGGACATATATTTTCAGTTCTCTTAGATGTACCTCTAGGAGTGAAATTGCTGGGTCATATAATAACTCTTTTCAGCCCTGTGAAGAACTGCCAGACTATTTTCCAAAGTGGCTGCACCACTTTACAACACCGCTGATAGTGTATGCTGGCAGGTTCCAAATTCTCTGCATCCTTGTCAACACTTGTTATTATCTGTCATATTGATTGTAGCAATCCTAGTGGCTGTGAAGTGGTATCTCACTGTGGTTTTGATTTACATTCCCTGGTGGCTAATGACCTTCAGCATGCTTTCATGTGCTTACTGGTCATTTGTGTCTTTGGAGAAATATCTTTTCGGACCTTTTTGTTCATTTAAAAATTGGATTATTTGTCTTTTTATTATTGAGCTCTAAGAACTCTTTATATGTTCTAGATAACCCACTGCTATTGAGTTTGATTCTGACTCATAGCAACTCTATAGGACAGAGTAGAACTGCCACATCTTTCTCCTACAGACTGGCTAGTGGGTTCAAACTGCTGGTTGGCAGCCAAGTGCTTTAACCACTGTGCTACCAGGGCTCCTTATATTCTAGATACAAGTCCCTTTTAGATACGTTATTGTTGTTATTTGCCTTGGCATTGACTCCAGATCATAGTGACTCCATGTGTTACATCATATAACTGCTGTTTGAGGTTTTCTGGCTGTAATCTTTCCAGAACAATTTGCCAGGTCATATACTTTGCAAATATTTTCTCCCATTTTGTAGGTTGTTTTTCACTTAAAAACAAAAATTTATTTCACTGTTGTTGAAAACATGCACAGCAAAACATACACCAATTCGTGTTTCTTCACTTTCTTGATGGTGTCCTTTGAAATACAGAAGCTTTTCATTTTAATGAAGTCCAGTTTATCTATTTTTTCTTTTGTCACGTGTGCCTTTGCTGTCATGTCTGAGAAGGCTTTGCCTAAACCAAGGTCACAAAGATTTATTTCTGTATTTTCTTCTAAGAGTTTTATAGCTTTAGCTCTTACATTTATGTCTATGATCTATTTTGAATTAATTGTTTTGTATGGTGTGAAGAAGGGATCAGGCTGTATTCTGCATGTGGATATCCAGTTGTCCCAGCACCATTTGCTGAAGTGAGGTTTTGAATTGTTCTTTTCAGTAATTTTCTACGTGACAAGAAGAGACTATATACACTTTGAGTTCTATTTACCTAGTAGATCATTTTCTTATCCAAATGGTATAGTCCACATAGCTGCAATGATGTCTCCTTTTTATCATTAGACAGATTACATCAATGCCAGTTTCATGGACGGCTACAAGCAGAAGAATGCTTATATTGGTACACAAGGTAAGCTGGTTCACTGCTCACAAGTTGGTTTTGTGCCATCTACTTGGGATTCCTTGTACCAGATGATGGCAGAATTTTTAAAGGTAACTTGAGGTGATCTTGTGACTACTACATTGGGTGTTAACTAAGGAAGACGGATGAGAGTGTAGGGTTTCTGTACCAGATCTGCTTGGAAATTCATTGCATAGAGATAAACTGGAGATTTAGACACGCAACACTACTATTGCCTGCAAGATTTTGGACTGTGTCTTAGTATTGTCAGTGCAATGGAGTGGAGTTTAGTAACTTACCAGTGAGTTATGCTCTTCATGTTTAGCGTAGGAGGCCAGGTCTGGCAGGCACTTCCCAGGTAAATCTGGAAGTTACCTTCTTCTCTACACTCTCCCCTTTCGTCTCCAGTAATTCCTTTTGAGTCTAATGTATGAATGGGTGTTGCTGGTCCCTTTACTATCACAGAGCATGCTAGCAATGTTCTGGTGTGGATAACCTATGCTAGCTCTGACACTGATACAGTAAACCAGGAGGATTTTAGATGGAGTGTCTATAAATTCTCCTGTGGACCTCAGTGCCCCTCCTGACTTGGCCTCTGCCCATCTCAAGGAGAATTACAAGGTTACCCCAAAGAGAGTGGGAAGAATTCAGCACAGGAGGACAAAATGGGCCTACTATTTAGGCATAAGGCCCTTTGACCATAGTAGAACACAGCCAGTAGGAGCTCTGGCATATACCTCCTTAATCAAGTGATCAAACTTAATATCACCAATAATGGGACAAATGGACATTATATGTAGTGCCTAAGACATTTGAGGGAGCTCTCATAGCGTAATGCCTAAGGCGCTTGACTGCTAACCAGAAGGCTGGCAGTTCAAACCCACCAGCCACTCCTCGGAAGGAAGATGGGGCAATCTACTTCCATAGTGATACTGCCTCAGAAACCCAAGGAGGGGTCGCTATGAGTCGGGTCTGACTCAACGGCACATAACAACAACAACAAGGCATTTGACTGCTAACCAGAAGGCTGATGGTTCAAACTCACCAGCCACTCCTCGGAAGGAAGACTGGGCAATCTACTTCCATAGAGATACAGCCTAGGAAACGCAAAAAGGGGTTGCTATGAGTTGGACTAGACTTGACAGTAGTAAGTTATTATAGGTTGAAGACAACTAAAGAGACTGGACAGCCAAATTCAGTGTATAATTGTGATTGTATCCTCAGCTGGGAGAAAAAAAAAACCCAGGACAAACTTTTGGGGATAATTGGAGACTGTGTATTAGATAATATTGCATCAAAGTTTAATTGCTTAGGTGTGATATTGATATTATTATATAAGAGAATGTCCTTGATCTCCTAATATATATTTAAGCTAAATGTCATGTGCAACTTACTATTAAGTGATTTTGTTAAAAGAAAAAAATACATATGTATGTGTGTGTATAGAGAGAAGTAAACATTGTAAAATGATAGGTTTCTAGCTAAACTATGTATGGGTACATCGTAATATTCTTTCAACTTTTCTGTAGGTTTTAAATTTTTCAAAATAAAATTTGGAAGAAAAAGAAAAGGGAAAGGATCCTTTGGATTCCTGGTACCTTGTTAATTGGCCTGATAGCCACAGGTTTATTTTTACCCCTGGAAGGGGACTATTCCCTCCAAAAGGAGTCATTTAGAGACTCTAAGAAGAAATGAGAACTATCAGGAGAGATCTTTGACAGATACAGGATATGAAGTGATCTGCCTAAGGTTAGGGGTTTCATTGAGGAGCTTTAGCATGGATGGGCTTTTGGAGGCCACAGGTTGCTTCAAAATGCTGCTTTCTCCTGGTTTAGAAGTTGCTAATTATATAGGGATTGAATCTTTTAGGCTGGCTCTGATGGCCCTGTCCAGAAGAAACTTTTCCGGGAGTATTAGAGGAGTTCTTCAAACAAGCACTGATTACTTTTGGACTCAGAACTCTATCAGGACAAGAAAGTGAAGTGTAAATACAGCTCCAGTTGAAGCTGGAGAATGCGTGGGTAGTCTGTGACATGCAGAAAGCTGGATTGATTTGCTGGGCTAATCTCCTCAGCTGTAGTCAGGATTCTGATTCTTACTCACAATAATATTTCTACTAACAATATCTAATGATTACAGAAACTCTGCAAGAAGATTTTATTAGTCTGTTTTGTAGATGAGCAAACTGAAGCCTGAGGAGGTTAAGTGACTTTGGATCGTACAATTAGTGAGTGACAGAGCTAGAATTTGAACCCATATCTGTTTGGCTCGGAAGTCCTTGCAAGCCAAGTCAGTGGATTGTTTCACCTATGTCAGCATAAACCTTTGGCTTTGTTTCTTCAAAAACATCTATTTAAAGGACTTAATCTGGAAAGTGCAACTTTCCCTTCTAAATCACTCTCTTGTGCCTTTCAGGGAGTTATGGTCCCTTTTTGCCTAGCCTGAGACTGAGTAGTATCTGAATTGTCAAGTGTTCTGATTGCTCAGCAACACCCAATCCTGCCAGTGTTTTAAATGTGGAAAATAAAGTATATGAGAGCTGCTGTGGTGCAGGATAGTGCGATAAGGATTAGGTTGGGAGTCAGAGATGAGAAAAAGGTGTTCTTATTATCTTTTTAACATGCATTCAAAGGTAATGCATGTTCATTGTAGAAAATTTAGAAAATGAAGGTTAAAATTGCCATACTCTAGGACCAAGAAATATATAATATTTTGTAGCATTTCCTCTAGACCCTTTTGTATGCATACATATGTATATTACATATACATACAAAATACTTAACAAAATGGGATCTTCTGTGTATTACGGTTTTCATGTAAGGTATATTGTGAATACCTTTCCATAGTAGAAAATATAGATCTTACAACATCTCCTTTATGAACTGCTTAAATTATGGAAATGGCATAATTTAACTAATCTAATCCTCTCTTGTTGAACATTTAGCTTAATTCCAAGACCTCACATACTTTTACAAAGGGAGAGTTCCAGTATCATAAAATATTAGTACTTACTGAAGGACCTTAGCAAAAATGGTAGGGGAACGAGTAGGGTGAAGCCCAGCTCATTGCCAAGCAAAATCAACCCTTGGCACTGCCCTACTTCCTTGAAAGCGAAGGAGACCCAACATTGGAATTTTGCTGAATTGTTACTCTCTCAGTTGAAAGGAAAAGTCTCTGGGCAGCACAGTTTGTGCTTAACTTCTAACCTATAGGTTGGAGGTTTGAACCCATCCAGCAGCACCACCAAAGTGGTGGCACTGGCTTCCATTAATGATTAAAGATTATAGCTACAAAAAGACTGTGGAGCAGTTTTGCTCTGTAGCACATGGGGTCACCATGAGTTAGAGTCAACTTGATGGCAAGGGATTTTTTTTTTTTTTGATTGAAAGGAAGTTGGTGGCCTGCAGGTATCTTCAAAATTCCTACTGAGTGCCCAGCCCTGTGCAGGCTCTGAGCCATAAAAGGAGAATTCAGCAGTACAGCTCTTGTCTCAGGACTCTTGCTGAGACATGCTTAATTCCCATAAAATGACTGATAATAGACTATATAAAGTAATGGTTAAGCTGTTTGGATCCAGCTGTGCCATCAAAGCTCAGAGGTGAGGGAGCAACAGAAGTGTGATGGTCAGAGAAAGCTTCAAGGAAGAGGGAGGGAATGCTTGAAAATGGGTAGAAAATGAACAGCCTTGGAAGTGAGGGAAGCAGCTTGAGCAAAGGAATACAGGCAAAAGTAAGTGTGGTATATCTATATTCTGATGAAGTGTTGTTTTGTTGTTTTGATTTTTAAAGATTAAAGTGGTTGAGATATCCAGAATAGACTGGAAGAGAAAAAGACCTTCAAAATAGTAAACTAAGATGGTGTTTTTTTTTTTAAAAAAAAGAAAACTCTAAGATGTGTTACAATAACTCAGACAAAAAGGCGATGTGGTTATAAACTCAGAAGTGGCAGTGAAATTGAGGAGGGGACAAAAAGATGATAATCAAAAACATTTCAAAGGCAGTAACTCTCTGACACTTGCTGACAGAGATGCAAGTTGAAAGATGAAGCTAATTCTGAAGGAGGAGGCTGAATTGCAGACATGTCAGATCTGAGGAGATGATGGAGTATGGAAGGGGAATGGTTTAATAGGCAGCTGGTGATTATGAGGCTGAAGCTTAGGTGAGATGAAAACAAAGACATGTATATTTTCAGCCTGGGTCTGATAGCTGAAGCCCCGATGATAAGGCTCTGAGAGGGTATATATCAGTGCTTCTTCAACTATAATTACAACTCACATGAGGACCTTGTTAAAAAGCAGGTTCTACATTTCTAACATTCCCATATGATGCTAATGCTATTGCTCTAAGAATCACACTGAACAACGGGACTGTAGAGAGAAATTCAGGGAACTAACATCTGTACTTTGGAGTTAGTAGTAGGGAGAACAAAGGGGATCCTAAGAAGGAAAGAATGCTTCCCAGGGTCATATTCCTTGTCTTCTCCTTTCATTCCAGGCCCTTTGGAGAATACCTATCGTGATTTCTGGCTAATGGTATGGGAGCAGAAAGTCCTAGTGATTGTTATGACCACCCGGTGAGTTAATCTCTTTTTCTTTCCACTGCTCCCCACCCTTAACCTGTCCCCAAGCATGGGTGATTCAAGAAGGGAGTTTAGCTTTAATCTTCTAAGAAACAATGAGGATTAGAAAAACCATGGCAAAGAATTTGAGATGTCTTAACCTTTTTTAGCTGACCCAAAGTTAACACGAGGTGGAGATTGATAGATCTAAGTTGCCAAAGCTTAAATCTATGGCTCTGGAGACCTCTGTGCCACTTAAACCTATTCGGAGGTCCTGATCTTATCCACTGAAGGAAGTACTGGAAAACTAGGAGCAATTCACCTTTAATCTGGCCCCTCTTTCCAGAGGGCAGCTGTTTTCCTGGCTTCTGGGTTACCAATTCCCCCTTTGTTCTCCTGCTTACTGCTCTTGGCCATTATTTTCTTCATTCATATTTCTGCTTGCAGCAGAACTTCAAATAGAAAAATGAAATGTAATAGATCAGGAAGGACACTATTGATAAAAGGAATATTTAAAAAAATTTTGATCTGTATCTCCACCAAAACTTCAGGAATTACCTATTTTATTAGTGTCATCATTATTATAATTATACTCTGTTTCAGATGAGGAGGAAAAAAAATTAATGATAATGTTTGCTCAATTTCCTTCTCCCTTCTGCATTATTGCAGCCACCTTTAATTTGGAAAGGAGATAGTGGGAGAAAGTACCACCTTGGAGTACAGGCATACCTCGTTTTATTTCATTTTGCTTTATAGCACTTTGCAGATACTGTGTTTTTTAATAAATTGAAGGTTTGTGGCAACCCTGTGCCAAGCAAGTCTGTCAGTGCCACTTTTTCTTTTTTTTTTTTTTTTTAATTTTAAGAGCTTGTTTTACATTCAACGTTAAGTGTACATTTAGTTTCACTCCCCATTCACCATTTCCAACCCCAACCCAGTCTCCTCCCCTCCCTACTCAGTAACCGCCCCCCCATGCCCCTCATATTCATGTGATCCTGTTTATCCTGCATTTCCTCAATTTGAATGTTGGTTCTTTGGTGCCCCGTGGTCTATTGCTCTAAGGGATATATTACCATAGAGTATGTGGGTCATCCTGGGTTGAATGGTCTGCATGTATATCTTGTTAATTCTTAGGGTGAGAGCCAGCCCCTGGGGGTGAGACCTACCCCAGGCACAGAATGTATTCCAGGGCCATAGTATTGGGGATCTCATCAGACTTCATCAGACCAGTAATTTTGGTCATTATTGAGTTTTTGGCTTTTGTTCCACGTTTTTCCTCCCACTTTATCCAGGATCTCCAGATTTGATCCTTTACTGAGTGGTTGGCATTGGTAACTGGGCACCATCTAGTTCTTCTGGTCTTGAGGGCCATCATGTCCTTTGGCTGACTGCTTCCAAATGCCCTTGGTTTTTTTTTTTTTTTTTGCATTCTTCTTAGCTTCCGACACTAGGAGACCATTAGCTGCATCTTAGATGGCCATTTGAAAGCTTTTAAGACTCCAGTTGCTATTCACCAATGTGAGATGCAGAACAAGGCTTTTATGTATTTTGTTGTGCCAATTGAGTCTGGTGTCCCCCTGTACTATGGTCCTGAGACAGTAGATCTATTGGATCTCACTCCCATAGTGTCTGTGAGGGATTACTCTGTGTGTCTTCTGTTGTTTCCTTAACGATTGCAGGTGTTTTGTATCACTGGTGTCTGTGCAAGACTAGCCTCAGCTGAATCTATCCTTGGTCTAAAGTATACTCCTGTTCACTGACGCCCATCTGATCCTCTCAGGTGTTTATGTGCTTATCTATAGCCTGGTGTTTGGTGTTAATGGTAATGCAGTATTGTGGACACATTGGTTGGTATTAACATCTGTCATCTCTCTTACGTGTACAATTCGGTGTCCTCCCATTTCCCAGTGTTATCATGGTGGTCACAGACCCTTTCCATATATTCCTCCCCTTACCCACATCAGCGTGTGGGACCCAACCAGCCCAAAATCAATCCCTCCCCTTCCTTTCCCATCCCGGTAACCTACGAAGTGAATTCTCTTTCCCAAGTGCAAAATGCAAGGAGGCCACATATTCTGACCTCCTAGAACCCCACAAGAGGAAGGCAGAATCACCATCAATAGCCCAAGGCCTGTTACTGCAAGGCCTGACATGCTGCCTCCCTCCAGCCCTTTCACCAACTGTTCCTCCCAAAGCACCACCACCTCTCTCCTGGGTTCGATCATTTGCTGCAGCGGCCACACAGAACTCACAGATTATGGAGTTTATTAGGGAGCACCAGGCTACAATTCAAGTTCGGGAAGAACACTCAGTCTCTCTCCCAGCCACTGTCTCTCAGCCAAGTCTCTCACAGTCTCTCCCCCAGCAGTGCATGTCCCTCGGTGTCTTACTCAGCAATGCCTTTCTCTTGCGTCTCTTTCCCAGCAGCACATGTCTCTTTCAGCAGCACATTTTTCTCAACCAGCAGTCAGAGAGAGTTCTGCCTCTAGGAGGCCTCCTTTTGAGCTTGGCAGAATGGCCAAACCAACCAATCACAACAACAATTCTAAGCACCTGAGAGTGAGCCTCCCATAACATTGTGTTGTGCCACGCCCAACAGAAATAACCCAGGTGGATAATATTTACAATCAGGAGCTCCTCAGTTGCTCATAGCAAATCCCACCTTGGAGTTTACAAAGACTTATGGGTAGAAAAGCCATACTAAGCTATTTACTACACTGCACCAAGCAAACCCTTCTTTGTGTTCTTTTTACAGTAATGGGCTCATAAAGTACTTGTCTTTCTGTGATTGACTTATTTCACTTGGCATAATGTCCTCCAAGTTCATCCACATTGTAAGATGATTTGCGTATTCCTCATTGTTCTTTAATGTAGCATAGTATTGCATTTTGTGCATGTACCATAATTTGGTTATCCACTCATCCGCTGATGGACATTTGTTGCTTCCATCTCTTTGCTATAGTGAATTGTGCTATGATGAACATAGGTGTACATATGTCTGTTTGTGTCCTGCCTCTCACTTCTTTAGGATATATTCCTAGTAATGGAATTGCTGGATCAAATGGTATTTCTATTTTCAATCTTTTAAGAAAACGCCATACCATTTGCCACAATGGTTGTACCATTTTACAATCCCACCAGCAGTGCACAAGAGTTCCAATCTCTCCGCAACCTTGCCAGCATTTGTTATTTTCTGACCTGTTGAACTTTGCTATTATTGCTGGGGTGAGATGATACCTCATCGTTGTTTTGATTTGCATCTCTCTGATGATTAATGATTGCAAGCAATCTCTCATGTGTTTGTTGGCTGCCTGTATATCTTTTTTGGTGAAGTGTCTGTTCAAGTCTTTTGTCCATTTGTGAGTTGGATTATTTGTCTTTTTGGTGTTGAAGTGTTGAAGTTTTCTATGGATTTTAGAGATGTCCTTTGTCAGATATGTCATAGGCAAATATTTTCTCCCAATCTGTAGGTTCTCTTTTTACTCTCTTGATGAAGTCTTTTGATGCGGATAAGAATTTAATCTTTAAAAGGTCCCAGTCATCTAGCTCCTCTTCTACCTCCTACACATTCTTTCTTTTTTTTTTTTTCATATTCCTTTTTTTTTTTTAATTGTGATTTGGGTGAAGATTTACAAAGCAAATTCACTTTCCATACAGCAGTTCATATACACTTTGTCTCATGACATTGATCACAGTTTACCACAATGCACCAGCTCCCCTCCCACTTCCTCCCCATTGTCCATCCCTCCATGCACTCCTGCCCCTGAGCATTCTCCTTATGCATAAGCAGCCCTTCTTTCTCCCATGATTGTTCTCTCCAAGGAGTGTATCTACTTGAGGTAAATGTTCAACTCATATGCCTGTCTTTTTTTTTTGGCTGGAAACCACAGGTGTGGGTTCAATTCCAGACCTGAAGGGCAGCTAGAGGCCATAGTCTCAGCAGTTCCACCAGGCTCTATCGGACCAGCTAACCTGGTGCCCCCTCCCCATACATTCTGGGTTATGCTTGATAGTCTATTTATGCCACAAATTAGGGCTCCCAGATTTGCCGCTATTTTATCTTTGGTGAATTTTACAGTTTTGGGTTTTACATATAAGTCTGTGATCCAGCTTGAGTTTGTTTTTGTGTATGGGGTGAGGAATGGGTCTTGTTTCATTTTTTTGTCATTGCCATTTTTTCAACAGCATGTGCTCACTTTGTGTTACAGTTTTGTAATTCTCAGAATATTTCAAACTTTTTCATAATACTATTGCACAATTAATAAACTATTGTTGTTGTTGTTGTTATGTGCTGTCGAGTCGGCCCCGACTCATAGCGACCCCTCCTTGGGTTTCCGAGGCAGTATCACTACGGAAGTAGGATTGCCCAACCTTCCTTCCGAGGAGTGTCTGGTGGGTTTGAACTGCCAGCCGTCTGGTTAGCAGGCAAGTGTCTTAGCCACTATGCTACCAGAGCTCCCTAATAAACTATAGTATAGTATAAACATAATTTTCATATGCACTGGGAAACCAAAAAATCCATGTGACTCACTTTATTGTGATATTTGCTTTATTATGATGGTCTAGAGCCAACCCACAATATCTCTGAGGTATGCCTGTATTTGGAGCCACTGAAGAGTGGTGAGGTGGACTTTAGGCCTTTACAAAAACCTCCCCCTGGCATCCCAGGAGCCATGCCTTTCGCCTTCTCTGTCAGCCAGGGACCTTTATCAGGGAAGAAAATAGACAGTGGCTGAGGTATAGGCCAGAGACTTCTCTCTGACCCACCACATTTTCTCTACTGCCTTTCTTTATCTACCCAGTATTTATCCCAGATATGTAAGGAATACCATGAGAGATCAGGAAAGGGACCACATGACATAGTAAGCACTCAATAAATGTCTGCTAAATGAGTACACACAGAAACTGTAGCTATTGTTTCATCCACTTAGAAAGAAGAGGTTTTCTTCTTTTTCTGACAAGAAGCAAGGGTGTAAAGTCAGACAGAAGCATTTCAAGAGATGACATTACTGCCTAGGGTTATAGCAGGTCATAGAGTAATTACTGCTGTGGAGGGGAAAGATGGAAGGCTTATCTTACTCTCTGTGTTTGCAGCTTTGAGGAGGGCGGAAGGAGGAAATGTGGTCAGTACTGGCCACTAGAAAAAGACTCTCGGATCCGATTTGGCTTCCTCACAGTGACTAATCTAGGTGTGGAGAACATGAACCATTATAAGAAAACCATCCTAGAGATTCACAACACAGAGGTAAATCCAGGTTTCTATTTTCTTGCATTTTTGAAGCTGGGGGAGAAATTTGTACTGTCAAAATCTCCATAGGGAATAGACAAGATTCCAGGGAGATTATGATAAATTGCTTCCATTTTTCTGGGAAGAGGATGAGGATATACAACTCAGAGCCAATTAGCTATGTTGGCTTAACATCACAGTGACATTACTTAGGAGTAAAGCTTATAACATAAGAAATCTGGATCCTATGGTATAGTAATTCTCCTTCTCCAGACATTTAATCTTTCCTTTGGGTCAGGGCACTTTAGGGTTTGAAGTAGGGAAGCAATTGTGGGAAAAAGTTTAGAGTGGTACTGATTGGTAGGAGGAGCCTTGGTGTGTTGGGAGTTCCAGGCAGTTGAGAATCTGGAAAAGACAGTCAGAGGCAGGCAAAAAATGAGCTCATTAACTTTTGTTTCTTTTCTTTCTTCAAGGAGCGCCAGAAACGCCAGGTGACCCACTTCCAGTTCCTGAGCTGGCCAGATTATGGCGTCCCTTCCTCAGCAGCTTCCCTCATTGACTTCTTGAGAGTGGTCAGGAATCAGCAGAGGCTGGCTGTCAGCAGCATGGGGGCACGCTCCAAAGGGCAATCCCCTGAGCCACCCATTGTGGTCCACTGCAGTGCAGGCATTGGCAGGACAGGTAATGCACCTGATGCAGCTCTTGGTGCATCCAGAGGCAGTAGAAGTGGGTGATGAATAACAAAGCTCTTAGACCACATCTGTGAAAGTTGCTACTTTGGGAGAAAGTACTTATTTGATCCATGCGTAGTGAATTGCTGTGAAAAGTCCCTCTTTAATGTCCTTTTGGTATCCCTGTTGCTATTGCTAGGTGCTGGCCAGAATATAACACTTCATAAGCCATGCCCTCTAAGGGTTTATTCTTTGTACATCCCAGCAGCATGATCACCTGTCACTGTGAGTTTCCCATGGAGCTCAGATGGGCTTTCTATCCTCCCTTCTTCCCACAGAGGGATCTTCGTCCTGTGCTGTGCTCTCTGTTCTGGAGTCAGTCAGTAGCCTTTACCTTAAGATGATATGCACTACAGAGACTGCTGTCCTCAGTTCAGAGATCCCTTGGGAGTAAGGAAGGATAGATTTGTGTTAGGGTAAGTTGTAAAATCTCTGGCAATTAAGAGTCCAGGTGTAGGAGTGCTGTTTGTCTATCTTTCTGGGATTCCAGCAGGAAGTTCCTCTATGTCACCTTCCCAATTACTCTACCAGTGTCCCCATATATGTCCTGAGAGACGAGGCCTTCTCAGTTCTCAGTTATAGGGTCCTGTAACACTCCCTGTGACCACCTCCTGCTCCTCAGGCCTAAGGCAAGCTGGCCTCCTGCCATGAGACACCTTGCCTTTGAATTCATTCATCCAGTCCTACTGGGTTATTTAGTAGTTGGGGGAGGGGAGAAGTAAACTAGGTGTGACTACTTCCTTCCTTCCTTCAGGTACCTTCTGCTCACTGGACATCTGCCTGGCACAGCTGGAGGAGCTTGGCACCCTTAATGTGTTTCAGACAGTGTCCCGAATGAGGACCCAGAGGGCCTTCAGCATCCAGACCCCTGAACAGTACTATTTTTGCTACAAGGCTATCCTGGAGTTCGCAGAGAGGGAGGGCATGGTGCCCTCCAGCCACAACCTGCTGGCCGTGGAGGGTCAGTAACTGTCTCACAAGCCTCCTGCCTACTGGCCAACCTTCCTTAAACTACCCTGGACACCGCTGAGCCTATAGGTTGCCATCAGTTATGCTGAAGCCATGGACCAACCTCTTTCTTGTGTCTCCCGGCGCACGTGTGCACGCAAGGCAACCTCTCCCTTTGGCTAGATAGATGTGGTAAAAATGCCACTATAAAGGGCCCGCAGCAATGTGTTCTTAATTCCTAGCACCTGCTATTGAACTGTGCCTTATTAAAACCAAATTGTGGCTATCGATTTTTGCCAGGGGGCTTGAGGTAAGTGGGGAAGGAACCTCCCTCCCCACCTTCCCAATGCCATTCTCCTTCTTTAGGTCTTCTCTCTCTCATTCCTTCCCTTTGCTAGGATTTGATGGGGAGATTTAGTGAGCAGCATCCTTCTTCCCAAGAAAGCTTGACCAGTTACATATTCTAGAGAACATCCTGAGTGCCAAGCACGTTTATACCTAGCGTGTGTATTCCAGTCTTTTCTGTCACTCTGTATGTGTGCGTTGTGTGTATGTATGTGCACTTACGTGTATGGGTCCATATGTACGTGTGTATATAATATATATTGTATGTGATAATATGGTCGTATTCTATAAATACATATACACACAGATACTCCTTTGTAGAAGTTCATGGGGCTTCGTGTTGCAGTTCAGGCGTGCTTGTTTCTTGGACCCTACTGTTTATTCTAGAGGAGCTGGGGTTGGGGATCATGTCTCCTGTTGTCAGACTGCAGAGTGGTAGAAGAGGACACACATGCATCCCCTCTTCATGCTTCTGCTACAGGCCCTTATCCTTGAGTAAAAACATCTCCCTCTGGAGTCCCTAGGTGGTACAAATGGTTAAAGTGCTCAACTAACCAAAAGGTTGGAGGTTCGAGTTCACCCAGAGGTACCTTGGAAGAAAGGCCTAGCGATCTACTTCTGAAAAACCAGCCATTGAGAACTCTATGGAGTGCAGCCATACTCTGATACCCATGGGATTGCCATGAGTCAGAATCGACTCAGTGGCAATTGGTTTTAATCTCCCTTTAGGATGCTGCCTGTTGAAGCCAAGAATACTGGTATGTGGTGACACTGGCATAATTCAGCATGGATTGCCCTTATCTAATTATTTTTCTCTGTTTACTTTGCCAGTTTAGGGAACAGACCTCCACTGTGATTCCAGACCCTCTCTTCCTTCTTACTGCCCCTCAGATTTGGGGGTCTGGAGGTAAAGCTGAACTTACTGAGCAGCCAGAGCCAAAAGCAATCGGTACGAAGTCTTAGAAGGAAAATGGGGGAGCCTAGGCCTGAAAGAGAAAACTACTATGAGAATCTGAGCTGCGGCCCCTTTTTCTTTTGCTGGAGAGTTTCTTTCCTTATGCAATTTGCCCCATCTCTCCTTGCCTACTAGCCTGTCAGACCCTTGAGTTTGAGCTGAGTGGGTTCTGTGCCAATGAAGAGCTTAACCCCTGGCTGGGTGAGGCAGTCCTCTGTAATCACTGTTTGCTTGCTACCCACCCAACCTACCTGCTTGCTTCCAACCCACCCAGCCCATCTGCTTGCTTCCAACCCACCCAGCCTGATGTGCCCAGAATGGAATCAAGAATCCCTAGCATTCCACATTCCCAAGAAAATGCCAGGAACCCCTAAACCTTCTTCCCCCATCACAGAAGATGAGGTTGGCAGCTGATCAGACCTCAATAATTTTATACTGTAATAAGCTCTTTGAATGTGTATATTCTTATTTTTACAATCTTTTCCTTTTGTATTTAACATCAATGGACTGAGTCAGATTCAGAAATAATTGTAAATGTTCATATTCAATATCTTACAGTGATACAGTTTTGTATTTACATATAAATATACCGACATGATCAAACCCTTTTAGCTTCATCAATTTAGCAGACTGGGGCTGGGAAGGTCAAGAGGGGATCCTGGAGGTGGTCAAGGGGGGGGGGGATGGGGAGGAGGGGCCCAAGCAGTATCATAGGTTTTCAGTTTTCAGGGCTACCCACCTTGCCAGTAGGTCCTGACCTTGGCTCTGGGAGAACAAAGGGAACCAGTGCTAGCTGAGTGTTTGCTGGGTGCCAAGCTCTGTGTTCAGAACTTTCTTTCCCATTACCCCTTTGAAACCTCACAACAATCCAAGAAGATGTTCTCTTCTCTCCTCCTATCTACCCTTCTTCCATTTCTATATAGTTGTTCTAGAACTAAGAGGCAAATTGGTCTGCTCACAGTGTCTTTGGTCTTTCCACTGTGTTGCCTGTCTCTCAAAGATCAGGACAGTGCTTTGTCTTTGGAGGCCAGAGTACATTTTTTTTTTTTTTTTTTAGCTTCCTTCAGAGTATAAACAGTTCTTAGATTCCAGCCATATAGGTTGGCTAGTTGATCTTGAGCCCATGGTGCATGTAGTGGATTAGAAGGGTAAATTATAGTTGGTGGTTGGTTCTTCCACGTAGGACCTCCTGGTGTAGAGGCCTGAGGTCTCCAGTACCAAAAGGGTCATACTTCCTTGGAAACTCCATACATAATGGGTATTTGGTGCTGTGGGAAAACCTTGAGTCATTCACAGCTCTCTGAGAGAGAATGGAACCAGAAGGTTATCCCTGTAGACTATTCCCCACACCACATAACTACTCTTGCCCATTTTGGCCAGTGACAGCCTGCTTAATGGGGCAATTCTAGCCTGGAGAATGTGCAAATATTGGAGTGTTCTGAAAATAATGATAGGAGCTAAAATTACCAAGTGCTTACTCTATTTCAAAGAGCTCTGGTGGTGTAGTGCCTAAGGCATTTGACTGTGAAACAGAAGGCTGGTGGTTCAAACCCACCAGCCACTCCATGGAAGGAAGACTGAGCAGTCTACTTCTGTAAAGATTTACCACCTCAGAAACCCAAAGGGGGTCACTGTGAGTCGGAATTAACTCTAAACTGCTTGACTCTACCAACTCTGAGTCTGTAAGGATTCATCTCCTTAATTTTTTCATCTCTGAAATTTTTCATGAGTTTCTTACTTTAATCAGGAGCTGAAGAATAAAGCAAAATATTAAGCCAGACCTTGCCCCAGAGAAACCTCCATTCTTTTGGGGGCAAGCATAAGAAGTGAACAGAGTCTCTGAAATCTGGGAAATCAGAGGTTAGGGGTTCAGAGGACTATGTAGGAAATGAGTTTAATAATGCACTTAATTGAAGAGGCTATAACCCAACTCAGAAATTATGCAGGGGTTCCTTATGTATTTGAGGATTACTGAGGAAGTTATCACTTGCAGAGCTTCATTAAAATGCAGATTCCTGGTTCCTGCCCACTAGGTGGTTGAAGGATTGAGGATGAGCCAGGTTTGGGAACTGCTGAGTTCATGTTCCGGACTTTAAGTGATGTCTCCTGAATTTTCAGTCAAACTCTGAAAGAAAGGGGAAAATAGTTTTTCCCCTACAGCCATAGTTTTCTATATCTTTTACCTTTGGGAAGTAATTGATACTCAGTATTAGCCTATCTGGGAGCTCTGGTAGCATAGTGTCTAAGGCACTTGACTGCTAACCAGAAGGCCGGCGGTTCAAACCCACCAGCCACTCCTTGGAAGGAAGATGGGGCAATCTACTTCCGTAGTGATACTGCCTCGGAAACCCAAGAAGGGGTCGCTATGAGTCGGGTCTGACTTGACGGCACATAACAACAACAACAACACATTAGCCTATCTATTCTGGGTATACTAGAGGAGGTAAAGGAAAAGGAAAGCAGAGAAGGAGCCCAAAATCTGGGGAGTAAAGATTCTCACTGAGTGACTTAGTGGACAAAATAAGAGATGCCACAGTCAAATGCCAAATTTTGTAGTTCACTTAAAGAGTTCAAGGGGGAAAGAGCATTGGGAGCTAAAAGCAGGTATGTGCTTCTGATTTGATTGCTGTTTTTTTTATTCCCTCTAGCATTCCCAGGGTATATAATTCTTCAATTACAGAGATAATCCCACTTTCCTCTCATGTGCCTGTTGCTCACTTCATTTTGCCCAGCCCTGTCGGCTTGCAGCCTCAGCGTAGCGTATCCACCATTGTCAGCCTCCATGTGACAGTATACAAAGTAAAACTGTTTCTAGGAGAACTGCTGGACTATTATAGCATCTTGACATGAGGGATATGTGGGTTTTGCCCTCAAAGGCTTCCAACCAGAAACACAAACACACCCATCTCATAAATCAGACCCGGAGGGAGGTGGGCCAGGAGATATCAACCAGGTAGAAAACCCTTCAAAGTCTTCTCTTTCAAGCTGCTGCCACTCCCTGTATTCTCTCAATTCGCTTCCCATTAGGTCCCCAACTTAGATGGAAAGTGAGTATCCCTGCCTTCCTCAAGACTAAATCATAAGCCTTCAACCTTTATGGCTTCCTTGGTGCTCCATATGGGGCAGAAAAGGTGACTCAGAGCCAAGGAATGAATTGACCAGAGCTCTCAGTCCAGATCTCGGCTCAGATTTGTCTCTTGATCAAGTCACTGCCCACAGACCATGGTTAGCTTACCTAGGGCAAGAGCTGAAACTTCCACAATGGAACCTCCTGAGGACAGGGAAACCAGATTTTCTCTTGGGAGGTATGTGCCCCATAGTTACCATCAGTTAGTGAGTGAATATCAAGTGTTCTGAGGTACACTGCACTTGACTGACCACAGAAAGACTGGGGTCTTCGCCACAAGTAGAAATTCTAGCATTCTCTAAAACCTGTTGTAGTACTTGATCTTTCTTCACCCCTTTACCATAGCTATTATACAATCCTTTCTCCTGTCTAAACTAAATCTGACATACAGTCTTAAAACACCCATTATTTTCTGGCTGAGGCCAAGGTAATTATTCCAGAATTCTAACTGAGAATGTTGGATGAGGACTGAGGCAGTGTGCCTTTTCAACAATTTAGGGTGGTAACATTCATGTTAAGACAATGATACTATGCTAGTAAGAAAACCAAAAACCAGACTCACTGCCGTCAAGTCAGTTGGGTTTCTGAGGTGATAACTCTATGGAAGTAGTTTGCCCAATCTTCTTTCCAAGGAGTGGCTGATAGGCTTGAACCGCCAGCCTTCTGTTTAGCAATCAAACCCCTTAGGCACTATGCCACCAAAGCTTCCATGTTAATAGGAAAGCAAGACAAATTTAGAGAGTTAGAAGGGGAGGGGCACATCACTCCCTCCCCCACTCCAGGCTCACTTTCTTCTCCTCCTCCTCCCTTGCAGTGGAACCTGGCCACTTTAAGCCACAATATAATTTGAAAGCCTCAGGAATGAGCAGATGTGCAGCTGAGCAGAGGTCAGCCATTTCATCTAGTGGGGTCTCTGTTCTACTTCCTTTACCTTTAATGACTCCTGTGCCCAGGAGCTAGTTGAAGTCTGATGTTTAGGACAGATAGTGGACTGGAAATGCCAATTGGAGACTTAGTCTAGGTAGAAGCAATGAGCATTGGAAGTGGATGGAATCAGCTAAGAGTGAGGAGGGCAAGAAGAGAGGAAAGATCCTTGGGACCACCAACATTTAGGACATGAGGAAGAAAAGCCCCTAAAGGGTGCTGATCAATAGGCAGAGGTAACCTGAGGGCAAGGTCAGGCTAGGTTGTCACACGATGTTGAGAGGTAGGAAATTGCTGGG